CTGTCTGTCTTCGCGACACTCCTTAAGGAATAGGACAAAGTAATATAGCGCATATCAGAGAAGAAAGTACCCCCTTGGGCTGGTGATAATTCATGTTTGCACAACATGGAAGAAAGTTTGGGTACTAAGCCACAATTTGTTACTCAAAGAAAGTGCATAATGCTAAACCTTATAGCATCAGGCTTTAGAAGAATTTCTTTTGAATACCGAGCATGTCCTTTTAAAATATAAAGCTAAGGAAATTCTTGAAAATTGTTGGTCAGGTTATGCCAAGGAGGAGAGCTCCTTGATAGAATACTTGCACGGTATGTCTTTGTTTGATTTAGGGAATTTTACTTCTAATTCATTGATTTGTTTTTTAAAGATATTCTATTTGGGGATAGTATTTAATTTCCTTCTCATTTCTTTTTGTAGGGGCGGGAAGTACTCAGAAGAGGATGCGAAGGATGTCATGGTACAAATATTAAATGTTGTTGCATTCTGCCATCTCCAGGGTGTTGTGCACCGTGATCTTAAACCCGAGGTAAACATATTCCTCAAACTGGCATTGCAAATTAGAATGTTGGTTACTTTTTATTTAAAAAAGAAAACAGAGAAGCACTTCATTGTTGAGTTTTTCTGTAACGTGTGCGGTATGCTAATGATACCGAAGAGTGCCTTTATCTTATTACTTTGATCGACACTGAAGATCCTCTGAATACAAAGTGTAACTGTTTTAATATCTTTCCTTGCTTGTAACGTAGCTGCTGTGCACATCCATCCTCAAAAACCCTTTATATGATAATTATTTTGGTGATTAACTAACAAGGATATGAATTTTTTTTATGTATCATATCTCCTTTTTTTTCTTTTGATATTTTTGCAAAAGTATCTCATTTTTTCCATTTCTTGTTCAGAATTTTTTGTTTTTGTCGAAAGATGAATCCTCCCCGTTAAAAGCCATCGATTTTGGCTTATCAGATTTTGTTAGACCAGGTTAGTTTTTACGCCATGCAGGTTCTATGAATTCTTATATTTGTCTTCTCCATTAAACATTTAATATAAATATGATGTATGCAGATGAAAAGCTTAATGACATTGTTGGAAGTGCATATTACGTAGCACCGGAAGTTCTGCACAGATCATATGGTATAGAGGCTGATGTGTGGAGTATAGGTGTAATAGCATATATTCTTCTATGTGGTAGTCGTCCATTTTGGGCTCGAACAGAGTCTGGAATCTTCAGGGCTGTTTTAAAGGCTGATCCAACTTATGATGAAGCACCCTGGCCTACGTTAACTTCAGAGGCTAATGATTTTGTCAAGCGACTATTGAATAAAGATCCTAGAAAAAGAATGAGTGCTGCTCAAGCATTATGTGAGTGTTTGCTCCTCTGAATTTTCTTGGCATCCTTTTTCTTTATATTGCCTCTTCTCATGACCCCCTTGTTCAGGTCATCCTTGGATGCGTAATCATAGCGGTGCAAAGCTACCACTTGATATTCTTATATTTCGTCTCATGAAGGCATATATGCGGTCATCCTCTTTGCGTAAGGCTGCTTTAAGGGTGTGTATATTATTTAGCTGGAACTATTGATATAACCTGATATATAACTCTCTGCCCTTGATAGTGCTATATCTTTTGGTTTTAGGTCTGAAATTGTTTATAAGGTTCTTAAGTTATCTTTGCCTTTTGTCATTGGTGAAAGACTACCACTTAGTATTCTCATATTTCGTCAAATGAAAGCATATATGCAATCATCCTTTTTTGTGTAAGACTGCTTTTAAGTATGTCTGTATTTTTTAGTTGGAACTATCAATATTACCTAATATATCTGTCTCTACCCTGATAGCCAAACTACTTATGGTCACCTATATCTTTTGGTTTTAGGTCTGAAGTAGTTAATAAGATTTTTAAATTGCGTTTGCCTTTTGTCTTTGGTGAAGGTTTCTGTATACTTTTTCAATAAGTAATTAGGTGTCGTACTAAAGATGGATAATAAGAAAAGCTAGTGCGGGAAAAACGTGGTGATCCCCCATCATAGTTCATATTTTGCATTAACTTTTGCTGATCACATCAGGGTCACAAGACTCATCATCTGTGATATCTTAGTTAAAATTGGTATCATCTCTGATTCTTTTGCTCTGTAAGTAATGAACTTTTGAAAGGTTTTCTATAAATATTTCTTGTGGCTCATCGGAGAAAATCCATGATTAAATGGATGAAATTTGAATTTTTTTGTTGCATCTGTTTATAAATAGTTAGGAATGTTCTCTTGTTAATGCTAATGCTCTACTTTTTAAAGTTCTGCTGATTTTTTATAAGTTTGATATGATTATTTGGCATCTAGCAGCTCTGATGCTTATAGGCTTGGTAGCATTTGACTTGGTAAATTGCACCTAATACTTTTCCCTTTGATAGGCGTTGTCAAAAACTTTAACCGCAGATGAACTTTTCTATCTTAAAGAGCAATTTGCATTACTGGAGCCAGACAAAAATGGCAACATAAAGCTAGAAAATATAAGATCAGTTAGTATCTTGACTCTCTCATCTTAGCTATTCTATGCTGTTTACTCTAGCCTTTTGGTGTTATCTTCTTACTCCTTTCCTAAAAAGGTCGTATCTCCTTGCTTTTTTTTGTTCCGTATAGGCACTAATGAAATATGGAACAGATGCTATGAAGGAGTCACGGATTCCAGATTTTCTTGCCTCGGTATTGACATAACCACCATTTGTGTGTTTCCCTGCTTCTTCTGTGGTTCTAGATTATGAGAAGTGGTTTCCGATGTTGTCTTTGACAGCTAAATGCACTTCAATATCGAAAGATGGATTTTGAAGAATTCTGCGCAGCTGCCTTAAGTGTTCATCAGCTGGAAGCTCTTGAGCGCTGGGAGCAACATGCTAGGTGTGCATATGAAATCTTTGATAAGGATGGCAATAGGGCTATTGTTATAGAAGAACTTGCCTCTGTAAGTTTCCATTTGTTTGTTACAAATGCCATGTTATGCTCTCATGTTAGTGTTGTTGTCTCGGTCAGTTGGACTTTTTGAGAACACAGGGTATTGTACGTTCCATTATACGTTTAATGCCTAATATTATTATCAAATCTCGCTTTCAGGAGCTTGGACTGGGTCCTTCAATTCCAGTTCATGCTGTCCTTAATGACTGGATAAGGCATACAGATGGAAAGCTAAGTTTTCTTGGTTTTGTGAAATTGTTGCATGGTCCTTCCACCCGAGGACTTGCAAAGGCGCAGTAACATTTGGACCGCTTTCAAGAGTGCCCGAAATACCAGAGTCTAGACATTGTGGATGAGATAATCTTCAAGCATTTGAAAGTTACAGATATCAGCCACGTTGCACTGAAACGTCAAAATTCCTGCCTGCTCTGAATTCAATTTGCTGGAGTATGTTTGATTATCAGATTTCACTCTCAGCACATATTTGATTGCTTTTACTTCCACACCATGTTGTGTAAAGATTTCTGATGCTGTGCGGGGTAAAGACATGGTTGATTGGACTTGCAGTTTTTTGTTACCAAGGGGAATGTCCTGGTTGCAACTCCTGCCAACAGGGATTAACAAGATGTAGTTACTAGTTTGACACTTTAAATTGGGATTGAGGTGTCAGTATAGATTATAGAGCCTTAGTTGATTCAATGCTGGAACTGATTGATTTATATTTATTGTTCAAATTTGAGTCCAGGCTAAAATTGCCTTGGAGTTGATTTGTATCCTCTTTCCTAGCAGACAAAGGTACTTCTGCCTTCCTATTTGGAAACCAAATGACTGAAATCATGCTGTCTCAAGTAATACACATTCCACAATCAATGGGAATGAGCAATATTGACATGATGTCTGACCAGCTAATTAGCATTGGGACTTTTATGTTTGTACAAGTGTTGATTGCTGGCTTAAAACCTGGTAAAGTACATGTTATTTTCTTTTTTTCCTTCCAAGGATCAAACATTTTTCTTGTCTTCTTACCTATCATAATGTCTACTTCAAATTCACACTGGATGCATTTTTAGAATCTTTGTGATGAAACGAAAGATCACTTTTATTTGATAAATTAGAATATTGTTGATCAAATGACAGTTGATTCCTTTACCTTGTTTGGATGGTTGTTAGTTTTAAATACAATGTTTGTTTGGTTATAATTACTTAAATTCTATTGTATCTCGTATTGTTTAAACTCGTTGTAAGGTAACAGGGAAGAACCAATTTGACATTGTTACTTCATACTTTTCTTCTCATTGTTTTTATTCATTATCAAATAACATGGATTAAAATAATACAATACAATACATTATAAAACAATACCATCCAAACAAATTGTTAGCTCTAATTAATCCTCAATGACAATTTATTTTTTCCGACTAGAAAAGATATATATTAATATATTAAGTTACCATCATAAATAAAATCAATAGTGAATGCATCAGACGTAATAGGTAGCATATCATAAATTTGGTCCCCGTGTTAACAAGAGGACTCTTGTTATCTTTCTAGCCTCATTCCATTCGAACTAACTCATATAAGCTTATATATTTTATGGGTCAGGCTGAGGTAATCTATTTTTCGTGTGGGCTGGAAAATGATCGACCCAACCTACAAGTACGTGGGCTACAGGCTGGCCGGGCCAGACCACTTTTTAAAAAATCATATATTTTTTTAATTATTCATTTAAATTATAAATTATAATTTAAAAATATTATCATAAATATCGACAAAACAATATCACATGATATTAATGTTATTACTTTTTAATCAAATTTACAAATAAAATTGTCTTTATAAAATATTTATTAAGTCAAATTACCGTACTAACTAAGATAGGAGAAAATCGATAATACAAAAAACAAAATAAAAATCAAGGAGGGAATGAGAATACGTCGGTAGCTTTTTGATAATCTATTTTTGGAAGATTTATAATATACAATATATTGACATATACTAATTTTTAAAAAATAACTTTCTACATATTTGCTACTAGTTCAAAAATAAATAAATAAATTATGAAGTAATCAGCTTATACTAGATAGTCTATTTGTCCTCTCTAATTTTAGGTTTAGTGATATGGTGAATTCCTTAATTAGCAGGGTATTTTTTTTTGTAACTGGTATTACATGATATCACAGTCGCCGTAACTCCGGTTGTAGCTTTTTCCGACATGCTACTTGTTAAACCCTACCGGAGAGCCCTCCATAGTTCAACTCGGCAAGTCCAATGCAAAACCCTAGACTCACCATCTCCTTCCTCCACCACCCTTTTTGTCGACAGGGCTGTATCCATTCTTAAAGGATACGACCCAATTTCCTTGGACTCCATTTCTTCCCAATTCACCCCTCAATATGCTTCTTCCGTGCTTTTCCAATGCCGATTCGATAAACCCCTTGTTCTAAGATTCATCAACTGGGCACGCAACCGCCAATTCTTCAATCTTCAATGCAAGTGTATTTCCATTCATATCCTCACTCGTTTCAAGCTTTACAAGACTGCCCAATCCCTGGCAGAGGATGTTGCTTTGAAATTCGGCGATAACAAGGGTGAATTGGTCTTTTCATGTCTCAGGGACACTTACTATTCTTGCAAGTCCAGCTCTGCTGTGTTCGATTTGATGGTAAAATCCTACTCTCATTTGAAAATGATTGACAGAGCTATGAATATCTTTGAATTAGCCAAGTTTAATGGGTTTATGCTCACTGTTTTGTCCTATAATTCCATTCTTGATGCGTTGATCAGGGTTTCATATAATGGGTCTTTCGAATTAGCTCAAAAGTTTTATGATGATATGGTTCAATCTGGGGTTTCACCTAATGTGTATACTTATAACATTATGATCCGAGGCCTTTGTGCAAAAGGGGAGTTGCAAAAGAGTTTGGTTGTTTTCAATGAAATGGAAAAAAATGGCTGCTTGCGAAACGTTGTAACCTATAACACTATCATAGGTGGTTATTGTAAGATAGGTAAGGTTGATGAGGCAGTCAAATTGTTGAAGCTAATGCAAGTGAGGAGCTTGGAACCAAGTGTGGTCACATATAATGCTATTATTAATGGGTTGTGTCGAGAAGGTAGAATGAAAGAGACAAGTGAGATTTTGGAAGAGATGAGGGGAAAGGGATTAATGCCTGATGAAGTAACCTATAACACACTGGTAAATGGCTATTGTAGAGAGGGTAACTTTCACCAAGCACTTGTTTTGCACTCGGAAATGTTGAGGAATGGGCTGTCTCCAGATGTTGTGACTTATACTTCTTTGATTAATAGCATGTGCAAGACTGGGAATTTGCACCGTGCAATGGAATTCTTTGATCAACTGCATGCTAGGGGATTATATCCCAACGATAGAACTTACACAACATTGATTGTTGGTTTTTCTCAGCAGGGTCTTATGAATGAGGCTTATAAGCTGTTGAATGAAATGATTTCAAATGGCTTTTCCCCTTCAATTGTAACTTACAATGCGTTAATTAATGGGCATTGTGCAGTGGGCAGGATGGAAGATGCTTTACGTGTGACTCAAGAGATGGAACAGAGAAGGCTGGTCCCAGATGTTGTAACTTATAGTACAATAATATCTGGGTTCTGTAGAAACTGTGGGTTGGAAAGAGCATTCTGTGTTAAGCAGCAGATGGTTGAAAAAGGGGTTTTACCTGATGTTATTACTTATTCATCCCTAATTCAAGGTCTTTGTGAGCAGCGAAGACTGACTGAAGCTTTCGAACTTTTCCAAGAGATGTTCAGAGTAGGTCTGCAACCAGATAAGTTTACATATACTACACTTATTGGTGCATACTGTGCAAATGGGGATATTAAAGGTGCTTTTCACCTGCATAACAAAATGATCTATAAGGGTTGCTTTCCTGATGTCGTCACTTACAATGTCCTAATCAATGGGCTTAACAAACAAGCTCGCACTAGGGAAGCAAAGCGGCTTCTGTTCAAGTTGTTGTATGAGCAATCAGTGCCAAATTGTGTCACTTATGACATGCTAATAGAAAGTTGCAAGGATCTTGAATTGAAGAGTGCGTTAGATCTTATTAAAGGATTCTGCATGAAAGGTCTGTTGAATGAAGCTGACCAAGTTTTTGAGTTGATGCTGCAAAAACACAAGAAGCCGAGTGAAGTAGCTTATAGCCTACTTATACACGGTCATTCCAGGGGTGGGAATTTGCATAGAGCCTTGAATCTTTTCAGAGAAATGGCTAATCTTGGATTTATTCCTCATACAGTAAGTATTATTGTGCTCATGAAAGAACTTTTTAAAGAAGGGATGAGCGAGGAATTACATCAAGTAATTCAAAGCACATTGGAAACCTGTAAACTTGCCGATGGTGAGCTAGCAAAAGTTATTGTTGAGGTGAACTACAAGGAAGGGAACATGGATGCGGTATTCAATGCACTCACTGAAATGGCCAAGGACGGCCTTCTTCCAAATAGTGGGAAAACCGCATTTTGTCACATGCCACAATAAAGTACTTATCATCTTAAGATAATCATACCAACTTTTCCCCTGCATGAGGTAGAATGCATCAAGCAAGCAGGAAACTTGGTTGCTACAAACTGTTTCCCCCTCATTTAGGTTTCTCATGACATTGTGAATGTGGAAGGTCATATTTTGAACTCCGATGAGCGACATTCTCTCGAGAGGGTTAAATTCCCACTTTGCTTGAAAATTGTAGGTCAGATTTTGAACTCCTTTTATCTCTGGACTTGGTACATACCTCAATTATTGTCAATATCCTGCACATTGAACTTACATATAAATAGGATTCTTTTACTTTCTTTAGGAAGTTTAGTTATATTTAGTCTTAGGTTCAGATGTTTGAAATTGTCAATGCATGGACATTAGCTGCAATTTTTTTTTGGGTTTTCCTCTTCTGAAATGGCATCATCATGCTAAATTGGGATTTCCTCTTCTGTAATGGCATTATCATGCTATGTGTCAACTCCCAGCATCTATGTCATATATTCCATCAATAAATGGCCTTCTCCCGTTGCTGATTTACTGGCCTTGCCAAATGTGATGCCTCATGTTCATATTGTCTATCTCTATTTCATCTGCTATATTTTAGTGGTAGGTCAGTTCCATATACCAGCAATGCATTCGCAAAAGATGAAAAAATAATTTTTAATTCGTCTCAGCTACATAAGTATGGTGCTTACTTGAAAAAGTGAAACAAGACGAAGAGAAGGAAGTGAGTTTCATTCGAGAAAGTGTGAAACCTCAAGGTATTATGTCTTTTACTGGTACATTTGGCTCACATAGTAAAACTACATTAAACAATAACATGATTGTAGATTAAAGAGCAATTTAAGTAATTCTTAAGCAAAACAATTCTGTTGTAATTCAATTCTTTCTGCCAGTAATTTGATACATGTTTTCCATTGTGAAATCTTCATTCCGTGCAGCCTAAGGAGCTTTTCTGTTCAAGAACATTGTATGTACCATTGATGAAGTCTGTTAATGGATGGGCATGGCTGTTTCGAGAGTAGGATTTGATTTACAGTGTCTTGCCTTCAGATCAGCTATCACTTAGTCTCTGTACTTCTGGACTAACTTTTTCCATTCTAATGCCAAATGTAATAATCCTAGTTGCTAATTCTGGACTTACTTTTTCCATTCTAATACCAAATGTAATAATCCAAGTCTAGCAAGAACTTTCTGGTTTTGTAACTTTTATCAAAAGAACTTGAAGCTCAAAGTCTATCAGCCCAGATCTGCCACTTTGAGGTAGAAGGCCTTTTCCATTTTAATAAAAACTCTGGTTGCATAAACTAGTACTGGCTTAAATATATCTTTTGACCAGTTAAACACTTCGTCCATATTTCTCATACATTGACGTGCAATATGGTTTTAGTATAATGGTATACAAAAATAATCGAGAACATAACAAGATCACAAAAGACCAAGAATACCGCCCCAGGTCTTCTCACTTTCTATATACTGCTAACATATTATGAGTCTCAAGAAATTGTGGTGCATTTGTGTTAAGTAGGCTTCTCACAGGAAGCGACAGGGTGTCTTCATATTTCCCCACAAAAGACTGTTTGCAAGTTCATCCAGAAGTTACATTTGATTGATTTGCTTCCTATGGTTCTAAGGACACAAGTAGACCAACTGTTCGCTTGCTAACAGTTGACATCTCATCTTACTAGAGTATGATGTTGGTTTTCAGGAGCATCTGTTCCATGTGCATCATAGCTTGTTTCTAAGTGTTGTTATTCAGTTCAGTGTTTCCTCTAGATTGGGCATGAAGGAAATTTCTCTGTTTTTCATGAATAATCGCTTTGTGCAGGTAATACAAGATGTTGAGGCAATATCTCTTGCGACAAATGAACATCCAGTAGCACTGCTTGCAGAACGCACAGGACTCTTGCAAAGAGATAATACTATTTACATGCCTATCTTATCTCAAAGGCATTGAAATGCTGCTGCTATTTCTGCATCCATACTTCCCAAACTTTATGGCATCAAATCGGTAAGTAATGATAAATCTATCTCGTGGAGTTCCTAGTGCAAGGGGAAACAGATGTAAAAATTGGTAAGAAAACAGATGCAAAGAAATTGAATGTAGTCATTCTTTTGCTGGATCTGCTCTCAGTAGTGTAATCTGAGGACCTTGGATTTTTCAATCTAAATCTGATTCCACAATTGCAGGCAATTACTGCATTAAATCGTTGTTATTTGGCAACTCGTTTATTTGCGCACTCTTATATTCAAATTTTCTTCTTGAAACTATTTAACACTCCCTTGCCTTCAGATTCATTGCTTAACAAGATTGACCACTAGACTAAAGGCATAGCATAATGAGGATTCTCCAAATCCATCTTTCACACCCCCCCCCCCCAAATCCCCCACCCCTTTTTCTTTTGATAGAGAATCAAATACTTCTCTCATTGGAGTTATAGTGTAAATAGTTGAGAAATTACAGTAATCAAAGTTGCTGAGCTGTCATAAGGGGATACAAAATAGTTCAGAGTTCAGAATAGATTCCTTCTAAAAAAAAAATAGTTCACAATAGATCAAGGTAAATGACAACTCTATCATGATTCATTTGTATCTATGGAAATGACAAGTTGTAGTCTACCTATTTCTTATCTGTTTATATCTTGTGATCTGTCACCTCACTCCGTCATTTTAGATTTTGAGAGCAAAAAAAATTAGGTTAGCAGTGGCACATTCAACCTGATTCGAACTGGAATCATTCAGAACCAGATTTTATGGGTAAAACGGGGCCATGTTTCCATTGTGGCATCAAGCGTAAGTTCTCCTCTTGATTAATTTTTTCTCCTGATCTACATAATATCTCATAGTTAAGGTTTTATAACTCCTTTAGATATTTGAACTATTATTAGCCGAATCCCTCCACCTGTATCAATACTTGGATCCGTATCCTTGAATCTTAAAATTTAGAGCATGAAGGATCCATTCTTTAGATTCACGCCTGTTTTGACACCTAGGTAGGTAGGTTAGGATATACACAGATCTTACCCTACTTTTGTGGAGTAGAAAGTCAGTTTTTGATAGACCCTCGGCTTTAAAGAGGAGTATTTGAAGAAGGGTTGTAAGAAAATGACAAGATATGAAGTAAGTAAACCATCAAATGGTAATACACACCAGAGAATGGTGGGTGGTCCGCCAGTGGGTGCGGAATTATTTTACCGTTGAGCACTACACAAAGATATAGTCACTGTTGAATATTGTACAGTTAATCACTGTGGGATTAGATGGTAACTTTCCTCCTTAAAATATCGTGAAAATAAATGCAGTCTGTTAAGAGGGTAACTGTTCTGCATGGTACCTTGAAGTATCAAGCAAATCCTTTTCAATCTTTCCACCATAAAGCTCAAAGTTCAACTACTTTGTATGGTTCCTTAACACGGTGATGAAAATGTGAGTACAAAAACTGTAGACACATTCTAAAAGTCTATGCATGTTCCACAGAGATATTTCCTTTTGTTTGCCCAAAGAAATTCCCCGTATACATACTCTAGTTTCGGGACGCTTCTGTTCTGGTGAAATGCATTCTATACCTTTTTAAAAGAAATCTTAATTGTCAGTGAACCCTGTGCTTTAATTTCTGAGGTAAGTCTCTGCCTGTAAGAATGTTTTATTATTTTGTCCCTGTTCAAACACTAATTAATTGTGAACTCAAACAGAAACCATTCTTTGGAGAAATGGGTCACCTGAAAAACCAGTGCTCTGCAATGCATGTGGATCAAGATGGCGGGGTAGAAGGACACTAGATGGCTATATTCCCAGACATGGAAACATAGAAATAGAGAACTATCTGCTCCCTTATGACATGAAGCCGGCCCGTGAAGGAAAAAAGTTAGAAGTTGGAATAGAGGTTTCTGGACAGGATGGCTCTTCAGCTTGTCTTGAAGAGGAAATGAATAACATATCAAGCTTATGTTTAGCAGGATCATCCTCAGAAAACTGCATGCAGATGGAAGAAACAAATGGTAAAATAATTTCACTCATATATAGAGCACTTGACTTGTCGCAGCAAATTTGATGCACGTTCTGAATCAAATCCTTTCTTAAGCACAAGGGTCATAAGAAGTGGAGAACTAATGTCTTCCTATTTCTTTCCTCTGCTTTGCATGATAGTAAGCGCAAAACTCTTAATCTCAAAGAAAAATATGAGATAGATGAAATTAGACAACCAAATCATTGTGGATGCACCTTCCCGAAAAGTAATCCAGCAGTGCATAGTCTTCTGATTCAAAAGAAAAGGAAGAAACAGTTCACCCAATATTTGTAGCTTCCAATTAAGAACTTCTCCTATTCTTTTGATTCAAAATGGATAAATTTAATCACCCTCACCCCCACCCCCACAAAGAAGAGCTCTAAGACAACTTGGTAAGCATGTATCAGGATTCACGACTCTCGGATTTATTTTTATGCTGGAAATTCTTTTTGTTTCCCGATTATTGCCATGTGATTGTCAAATCACATTCAGGGTTTTACTTAAAAAAGCCGCAGGGAATCAATCATTATATAATACTCTATAGGCAAAATGTTGGGTTTCTTTCTTGTTCATAGATCATTAATATAGTGTCTCCCTAAGCTTCAAAAACTTACTTTCCTTTACACAATGAACTGACATCGGCAAATTACAGGTATTTTGGATTTTCAATAAAGATAGTGAACTGATCAGTCCAACTATACTTTAACCATACAAATAATTAAAGCTTTACCCCAAAGTAAAAAGATCTATTATAGTAATACCTTATTGTTTTATGTGCTCTAACGAATCCTTTTGTTTGGAGAAGCATACAAAGGTTCTCTATGGAATCCTGACAGTGTCCCAAGAAGAAAAAGATCAGAGCGTAGAAAATGCATTTTGTCACCTATTGAAAGATTCCAGAGGCAACTTCATAACATTCTACAGGAGCCAGACTTTGAAAATATCTCTGCAGACGATGAAAATATTCTAGTATATGCAAGGAACAAACACTTTCCTCCTAATGAGATTGGTCTTGGAGCTATGCTTCCACCTACTGCTACAAAACACTTGACAACTCTATCTCCATTGGCAGAAGATAATGATGCCTCTTGCTCAGTGAATGTTCCTGTAGGAAATTCCAATTCCAATTTGTAAGTGAATTTTGAGCTGCATGCACAAGGTTCAAGCTGGTATGTGTGCCAACTCTTACTATCTAGGAAGTACAATTTTTATTAAAACAATTTGAGCTGTTCCAACTTTACTAGATGTCCCCAGTGGCAACGCTCAACAACTTGTGTGTTTGAGACCATATAGTTTGCCAGTAGTGCATTTATATTTGGAGATTTATAATTCTGTTTTTTTTTTGGATGTGATTTCAATAAATTAGTATGTGCATTTAATATGTCAATTCCGATGCCGGTGGCGGTCACAGTGTGCTTGCCTACAAGTTTGTTAGTGTATACAAATAAATTCTGGGCCTAAATCAACCCCACGGGCTAGCTTGTGAGGAAAGGATTGCTCTAGTTCATATAAGGAATTCATAATTTTCTTATCGCACTTATGTGGAACTTAACACCCCGCCTCACGCCCAAGACTGGACATCTAGTCTATGGATTATTTGATATGGGGCCCAACATCGGTAAATGATAAATTGGGATGAGTTTGACACTGATACCATGTAAAGAAATCAATCTTGGGCCTAACTCTACCCCAAAAGTTAGCTTATGAGAGGATGATTGCCAAAGTCCATATAAGGAGTCCATAATTCCTCATCCCATGATGTGGGACTTAAAAAGCCCAATATCCATTATGTACCATTTGTTTGCATGGACTCCACATTACATGGATACTACATCAAGGGTATGTCGTTAAATTGTTCTCTAAAATGCTTCTACCATTGCATCTTCCATATTCAGAGATGGGAGTCTGATTATTAAAGAAATAGGTATATCAGCTTTAGGATAAGTCATGTTCAGCCACAAAAGTTTGAAAACTAAGTCAACCAAACTTCAATCTCCTTTTAAGTTATAACGATTAGTCAATAATATTTACACTAAAGAGAAACTAGAGAGCCATTAATACATAATCCAAGAGCAATTAAGAGTTAGAATAATTTAGTATTGAGTTTCATGAATGCCCCAAGTAGCAACATAAATCTAGAGGGTAGCGTGGGGGTTCACCCGAACTCCCTCAGCAAAAAATTACACGGGATATAAGGTTATTTTCAAATTATATATATATATATATAGAGAGAGAGAGAGAGAGATTTTGAACCTCTTTAACATGAGATTAGAGATTGATTAAGTGGTTGAGACTGTGCAAAATTCACCATAAGGTTTCAAGTTTAAATCTCAAGCACTACATTTTTATGTTTTGGTCCTTTAGAGAAAACCCTTGATCTGCCACTTTACCTATTATAACTCTTCAAAACCTTTATATGACTTGATTGATTTTTAAGTAATACGAAGTAGTTTTAATAAAAGCAACAAGCATTATAGAAACCGGAAAAATGTATTCACTACCATAAAACTTCTTAGAAGGCCAGGAAATACAATAACAGTAGAAAGGAGCAAAGAGAATAAAATATATTACTAATTAGAAAAGGAAAATAGGACACGGGAAGAAATGAGAACGTTAAAATCTCCGTCACTCTTTTACACAGTGGATAAGCATCTTAGGCTCCGAAGGATCAATCAACCGAAAAAAGCTACTTTTGGGTTTGTTAAAGAATAGGTTCTGGGCCTAGCACAACCCTAAAGTCCAGCTCATAGGGTGAGGATTATCCAAGTCCATATAAGGAGACCAATTACCTTCGTATTCTTAGTTTTGTTTGAAATAGAATACTTAATCTACAAAGTTAATTATTTTTCCAAAAAAGGAAGTAGTGTTGGCGGAGATGTAATTTTAAGCCAAAATATTCTATACACAAATAGGGAATCAATCACTGTATAATACTCTTACAGACAAAATATTGGGTTTCTTTCTTGCTCATAGATCATTAATTATAACATCTCCCATAAGCTTAAAAAACTTACTTCCCTTTGCACAATGAATTGACATCGACAAATTACAGGTAACTTGGATTTTCGATAAAGATATGAACTGATCAGTCCAACTATACTTTAACCATGCAAATAATAAAAGCTTTACCACAAAGTAAAAAGATCTATTGTATTAATACCTTATTGTTTTATGTACACTAACGTTCACCTTTTGTTAGGAGAAGCAGACACAATCCTCTCTGAAATTTTGAGTGTGTCCCAAGAAGAATGATCAGAGAGTAGAAAAGACATTCTTTACTATACTTTAACCATACAAATAATAAAAGCTTTACCACAAAGTAAAAAGATCTATTGTATTAATACCTTATTGTTTTATGTACACTAACGTTCACCTTTTGTTAGGAGAAGCAGACAAAATCCTCTCTAATCTTGAGTGTCCCAAGAAGAATGATCAGAGAGTAGAAAGCACGTTTTCACCTGTTGAAAGACTCCAGGGGGCAGGGGCAACTTCATACTAATCTACAGGAACCAGGCTTGAAAATCTCTCTGCCGATGACGAAAATATTCTAATTTATGCAAGGAACAAATATATTCCTCCTAGTGAGATTGTTCTTGGAGCTATGCTGCTCGTATCACCACCTACTAATACAGATTACTTGCTGTCTCTATCTCCAATGGCAGATGCTGGAAGTGAGTTTTGAGAAGCATGCATAAGGTTCAAGCTGGTAACTCTTTTATCTAACTTGTGCAATGTTCGTTTAAACAATTTGAGCTGTTCCAACTTTTCTGGCTGTCCCTAATGGAAACGACAACACCTTGTATGTTTTGGGACCATCTAGTTTGCTAATTTTTTATTTGTTTTGGAGATCTATATTTCTTCTGTTTTATTGGATGGGATATTCAATGAATTAGATGTCTATTATGCTTTATGGGTGCATTTAATATGTCAAGTTTGCTAGTGTAAAGAAATGAATTTTAGGCCCAACTCAAACCACTAGCTAGCTTATGAGGGTGGAATTGCTCAAGTCCGTATGAGGAGTCCATAATTCCCTCATTGCACCGACATTGGGATGAGTGTGATTCTTATATCATGTAAAGAAATAAATTTTGGGCCTAACTCTACCCCAAAATTTAGCTTATGAGGGGAGGATGACTCAAATCCTTATAAGGAGTCCATAATTCCCTCATCCCACAATGTGGGACTTAACAAGCCCAAGATTATTTACGGATAGTTTGTGCGGACTCCACATTTAATGGATACTACATCAAGGGTATGTCACTAAATAGTTCTCTAAAATGCTTCTCTTGTTGCATCTTCTATATTCGGAGATGAGAATTTATTATTGAAGTAGTAGGTATATCAGCTTTAGGATAGGGTATGCTCAACTGCAAAAAGTTTGAAAACTAAGTCAACCAAAAAGTCTCTTCGATTTCCTTTTAAGTTATAACAAGTCGATAATTTTTACACTAAAGAGAAGCTAGAGAGCCACTAATACATAATCCAAGAGCAATTAAGAGTTAGAATAATTTAGTATTGCGTTTCATAAATGCCCCCCAAGTTGCAACATAAATCTAGAGGGTAGCGAGGGGGTTCACCTGAACTCGACCCCCTCGGCAAAAAATACACGGTATATATAAGGTAATTTTTAAATTTTGTATGTGTATATATATAGATATTGAACCTCTTGAAATTATGGTTAAATAAAACAGAAGAACTATAAAGAAATGCACAATTGGCAATGTAGATGGTCCCAAAACACACAAGTTGTTGTGCATTGTCGTTGGGGACATCCGGTAAAGTTTGAACAACCCAAATTGTTTTTTACCAACATTGCACAAGCTAAATGATAAGAGTTGGTTTCCCATTCCAGCTTGCATGTTATGCATGTATCTCAAAATTCACTTGCATATTGGAATTTTCTATAGGAACATTCATCGAGGGAGAGGCATTTTTTTCACAGATGTACAACTGATAGTCTTGAGCATTATCTAATGCAAGTGATCGTACCTACTTGTTCTGATGGAGCATCAAATACTTATTGCAGAAAGTTAAATTTGTTCAAGGTTAGGGAACTCTTCCGGGGATTCTTTCTTTGTTTTTATATTGAGGTAACTTAAGTGATGATTTTGGAAAATTTATGTTGGGCAGTTCTAATGGAAAGATTTTATAGTCGGTAAATTAAGCTTTCTTGGATTTATTGTCTTCTGATCAGGCATTCTAAATGGTCAGAACATTTTTATTGGTCCATGGCGGGATGGTTTTTCTGATAAAGTTGCATGTATTTTGCTCAATATTTTTCTTAATGAATTTGTAAGTTATATTTCAATGGCCTTCTGACTTAGCCTTTTTTTGTTTTAATTATAGAAGGAAACTGGGTATGTTGTTGTATTGAAACTGTGTCTGGGACGTTGGTACTACCAATGGGTCACAACTTGCAAATTTGGGTTTACTGGGTTATTCAGTAAGCACTAATAACTTAGGGAGTTGCTAAACGAAGCTTTATATGAACTATTTGTTGCCACTTTTAATCCCTCCTATCTTTTATTTTTTTTTGTTTATAACAAAAATGAAGAAGTTAGTAGTAGTTGGGAAAGAAGAAATGGACGGAAGGAGCAAAGGGTACCTGAGGGTTTGGCTAGAAAATGTAGGGGAGGCCTGCCGGGCATCATCTTAAGATAGAATGTAGGAGTAGTACTTATTGCACATTGCAAGTTGACAACTAGTAGAGTAGTAATAAAATTATACACCTTTCGTCCTCCCTATCATTAATCAAAGGTCATAGGTTCGAAGCTTTACAAATAAAATTAAAGAATGTTACACTAATTTCATGGTGTTAAGAATCAATTACATTATATTTTTACTCTATTTTAAATTATAAAAATTCCTTAAATTTTATGGAATCCGGATACAACCCAAAAACGTCCTGATACATCGCGTCTCGGTTTCTAATACATCTCTCAACGTTCTGATACATCATGTCTTGACTTCGGATACATCACTCAACGTCTTGATACATCAAAATAAAGTGATGTATCCGATCGATACATCGCGTAAAATGATGTATTCTAACCGATACATCACGTAGTGATGTATCTGAGAGTAGGAAAGAGGAAAAACTTTTGTAATTTTTTCAAATGATAGGAAATTTTAGAAAATATGGTAAAGTAAGTTGTGTATTTATGTAATTTTCCATAAATGAACTATTTTACCATATTTTCTAAATTCTTTTATCATTTGAAAAAATTACAAAAGTTCTTCCTTTCTCCTGTTCTCGGATACATCACTTAACGCGATGTATCGATCAGATACATCACTTTATGGTGATGTATCAGGACGTTGAGTGATGTATCCGAAACGAGACATGATGTATCAGGTTGTTGAGGGACGTATTCGAAACGGAGAAGCGATGTATCAGGACGTTTTGGGTTGTATCCGGATTCCATCAAATGTAAAGGATTTTTATAATTTAGAAAAGAGTAAGAATATAATGTAATTAGCTCTTAACACTATGAGATTTGTCTAACATTCTTTTAACTTCATTTCTAAAGCTTCGAACCCATGACCTGTGATTAAGGGTAGAGGAGGAAAAGTGGATAATTTTATTACTACTCTACTAGTTGCCAATTGGCTATGTGCAATAAGTAATACTCCTACATTCTATCTTAAGATGATGCCCGGTAGCCCTTCCTTACATTTTCTTGCCAAACCCTCTGGTGCCCTTTGCTCCTTCCCGTCCATTTCTTCTTTCCCAACTACTCACCAACTTTTTCATTTTTGCTAGTTACTAAAAAAAAATAGGAGGGAATAAAAGAGGCAACAAATAGTTCATATATTATACGTAAGGGGGCAGTTCTAAGGAAAAGACTGTTTAGTCAGTAAATTAAGCTTTATTGGATTTATTGTCTTCTGACTTGGGCATTCTAAATTCTCAGAACATTTTTATTGGTCTGTGGCGGGATGGTTTTTCTGATAAAGTTGTCATGTATTATGCTCAATATTTTTCATAATGAATTTCGGAACTTTCTTAGCCTTTTCTTGTTTTAATTATAGAATGGAACTGGTATGTTGTTGTATTGAAACCGTGACTTTACTACCAACGGATCACAACTTGCAAAATTGAGTTACCGGGTTATTCAGCAAGCATTAATAAATTAGGGAGTTGCTAAATCTATTGCTTGTAGTTCTTTGAATAATTATATCATATATTAGCTTTGCCTTGGTCATTAACTCATTATACATCCTTTTTCTCAATAGATTTTTGTCATATTTTTCTTCCAATCTTGCTTCGGAAACATTTCTATTGAGCCAAGGGTCTATTATTGGAAACAACCTTTGTACCCACAAAGGTAGGGGTAAGGTATGCATACCCTCCCCAAATCCTACCTGTGGTATTACACTAGGTAGGTTGTTGATACATATTTGTAGGATGATTAAAAACATGGATACTTTAATCAGATTTTCGCATGTTAAAGGCTTGGAACATTAACTATGTGCGTACGGGGATTTTCATTTGCTTCATGCATGATGAAGACAACGATACTTGAAGTCTTGGTCATAATGTAAAATGGGTATCCTTCGAATTTTTGTGGTCATTGATCATGAAGTTTCTTATATAAACTGGTGAGTATTGCTTCTGGAGTATGTACCTCATGTTGGTGCTTAGTGTCAAGCTTGTGAAGCTGAGCTTTTTAGTACAAGCTAGATCAGACATTTCAGTTGCATTTCACAGTGGTGGGGCAAGGCTGTACCTGATTGCTTCATAGAGTGCAAAATAGGTATCCACAGTATCTGAAGTTTCCAGTTGAATCTAAGAGTTTAATTGCCTGAAATAAAAAACTAACACGATTATATAAATGATATTTCCTTACTTATCCAGCTGGACGTTGATTATCTTACTAAACAACTGCGCCCTCTTCTGTTCTTCAGGAAGCTCTGAAGCTACTTGGATGAGGCATATGTCCTTGAAGACTAAAGCAGCTCAGGAGCACCTGTTCTTTGGAAAATCTAGTTGGGGCCAATTATTGGCTTTAACGAAGCTCTATTTTATTACTAGGCATCTACTTCCAGGGCTACTCAACTGACAAAGTTGGTCGTTAAACTCATATGTTTTATATTGAACCGATAGATTTCCTTGTACAAAGACCTTCTTCCAAGGAAAAAGAAAAGCTGAATAAATGTTGTTTTGGTTATATTATGTTTTTTTACCGGGAGATGCTATTATATAAGATGTGAGATCTTTGTCAGATCATTCTCTTGTATTCAAATTATAATTTGTAGTGTGGAATCATTTCCTTGGTAATTTCCAGAAACAAGCAAGTTTTAGCAAAGATGACTCAATGAGATGTCCCGTAATGCTTTGAGTTTTACCTTAGAAATCCTACAATTCTTTAGGTGTTGTTTGCATTTTTTTGGTTCGATTATTAAAAAACTAATATCAGTTTCTTGACGACTTTGTTTTTGTTACGACACTCTGTGTCTGTTCCTAACAAAATAAATCCATAAAAAGTAGGAAAATATTTTAAGCTGGGATTTCACACAAAAAATACTCATAGTTTCACGTCTTTATCTGAATCTGAAGTATAAAGTTGTCAAATGTACAATACGAAATATCCACTAAACTGAAAATCTACTTCTTTTACCTCCGTTCTCTTCCAAAGGGAAAACAAAAGCGACAACAATTAATACAGCAGATAGCAGAACAAATGACAGACGTGACTTCTTTATTTTTTACGCTAACATCAAGCTGTGAGGAATGTAAGATTGCATTTTACATCAAGCGTTGGATTTTGCAACTCAAAACTTAATTGAAGGCTTCATTTCTTTTTCTGTCCCCCTTACCATGACATGACTTTTTGATCTTCCAAAAGTCGGAAAAAATCAATCAAAAAGAATCAAAGTCATAATAGGCATTATTGGGAAAAGAAATGGCTTCCAGCTGAACATATTGGATCATACAAAACAAGGAAAGCACATCCGCATACTTTGTCAAATGTGTTGCAGTAAATCAATAGCACTGAACCATGGAATTATCTACAACTAGTGGGTGCCAAAAAAAACATTAAAGCTCAATTGCACTATATTTTCCTAATTTCAGTATCTACATTGGCTCATTGGAAGAAGAAGAAGAAGAAGACTACTCCAGATTTCATAAAATGATAAATCAATGTATGATTTACTACTCCAGATTTCATAAAATGACTCATCAATGTATGATTCTATCTCTCAATCCTATGTATGATCGATGACTCGGGATGCGCTGCCTTCTAAATTAGGTCAGGAAAAATACAAAAATATAGATAGCTAAAAGGTCATGATAGGCATAATAAGGTGAAATTGAGTAGCTGAACAAAGAGAGATGATACGACAAGCAGCGGATGCATATGTGCTCATATCAATCAGAGACAAGTAAATCTTTCTATTTCTTTCAGATAGCAGAGTTCGAAAGCAGCAGAGAGTTATTCCACACTGGAAGCAATCTACTGTAAATATTGAGGTGCTTTTAAGGTTGCCAACTAGACTACAACAATATTTCAGTACATTGCTACTCCTTGTCAAAGAGCAATATCAGCTACCATGAACCAAAAGCTAGATTTAACAAGTTATATTATCCTTACATCAAACCAAGCATCCTCCAGGAAACTTCACTCATCTTGAAGAGAGCCGTTGATATAGGTCATCAGCCAAGGCCTGCCTCGCGCTTCCACCATAATAATAGAAAGATTTCTCATTTTCTAACACCCTTGGAGGGGAACCATTCTCTTCCGGCTCCCTCCAAAGCTCTGGCTCTGGCTCCCTTGCAATCTGACACAAGTTGTGCAATACACAACATGCAACAATAGTTTGGGGTGCATGGCTTAGTCCCACATTCAAATTCTGAAGAATTTTCCACCTTCCTTTCAACAAACCTATAGCTTCCTCAACCATCTTCCTCCCCTTAAACAAGGCTTCATCATAGGCATTCTCAGCAGGTGAGCCAGTCCTATTCCCAGAAAATGGAGTCAGCAAAAACGACAACAATGGAAAACACCAATCCCCAACAATGTATGGCCTCACATGTTCTCCTCTAACATTAACCCCTTTGTCCCAAACAATATCACCAGAAATCAACCTATTATACAAAAGACTGTCTCTAAAATGCGTTGCATCATCAAATCCACCTGGGGCTTTCACACAAACATCCCAAAAGATCTTCTTGTGATCAGCAACAACCTGAAGCAATACGGATGGGAACCCATATCGGCTATAGTACATAGACGAGTTTACGGTTTCCGACGGAAGATGCTGCAACCTCACGGCCGTTCCATCAATAGCTCCACATATATTGGGGAGTGAAGTCAGTTCTTGAAACCCCTGAGTGGTCTCCACAAGACGCCGTCGACTCACCGGAATCTTGATAAACTCCGGGTAAAGCTTAGTAGCCAAGAGGCGGGTGACCATGTTAGTAATTTTCGAGATCAGGTAAGGTTCAAGACCATAACGGGTAGCTAGGTTTTTAGCAGAATAGCCGTGGAAGAGTCTAGAAAGTACCATAGCAACGGCGTAATCAGAAGGTAGAGAGAGTTGAGACTGGGTAATGTAGGGTTTCAGCTTATCAACAACTGTGGTGAAAACGGGATACGATAGTCCGTAAAGGGAACGCCACTGAGCGTCACGGAGAGGAGCTTCCATAGCCCAAATATGTTCAGTGGAGAGGGCACGAAAAGCAGAGACGGAGAATTCGGCGGCTGCCGGCGATGGTGAAGAGGGGTTGTTGTTAGGTGAAGAAGTTGAAGTTTTAGGTTTTTTCTTGTGTGGGTGAGTAGCGAGATAGGAGAGAACGGATGCGATGGTGAAGAAGAGGAGAGGTGCGGCGGAGGTGGAGGTGAGGAGGGAAGTAGGGGAGGTGGGTGAAGCGACGGAGGAAGAGTAGGATGATGTGGAATCGGAGAGAAGAGAGGTGGTGGGGTCAAGGTGGTTGTGGAGGTGAAGAAGATTTGTTAGCATCAGCAGAAAAGATTGATCCATTGTTAACAGAGAAGGAGATTGAAGGTCCACTTTGCCGGAGAAGACCGACAGGGTTTTGCAGCCACCGGCGGCAATGTCAATCAAGCCAATTCATATTTGACGACGAGTGGGTGGGAGTGGGGGCGGGGGTGGAAGAACTTACAGCAGAAGAGCAAATAAGTCCACGTAGTTTCGCAAATGTTGCAAACAAGCCCATACTTGTTCGTTTTGATAAACCGAATTTTTCTTTTTTACTTATTATATTTTTGATTAATTAATTAACAAAGATTAATTAATCATTTTCGTATAAATTTACTATGACATATCAATTTAAAAATAAATATAATTAAGAATTATATTTTTTTATTTAAAGTTTATTCGATGAGCATAAAATATTTCCAGAAAAATAAAAATAATGACGAAGATTATAATAGCTGCGGGTTATTTTGGGTTCCAAAAAGAATTTATTTAGATTGTGAAGGTCGATTAAATTTTATATCTAAAGATTCTATGTTTTATATAACACTGAATCTCCTTTTTCTTCAGCACTAACTAAACAAACAAATATCTCAAAGCGGATCGGGTGGGCCCGAATCCGAGTTCTTTTTTATTTATTTTTTGTTCCTCAATTTGGTTCTACTTCTTTGATTCAAAATTAGGGTTTAGAAGAAAAGGCCGTTGATTTTGAATAGGAAACAGATTTGAGCTTGAGAATCGCCGTCTTCTCCTTTCATTCAATCCATTCGTGTATCTGTTGCAGCCATGACTGAGGTATCGCTCTGCTAATCTTCCATTTTTTTGGCTAGCAACTTCAAAAAATGACTTTTCCCCCCCTTTATTTCTACTTGGGAATTCCTGCTAATTCTAACTAGACTAGATGTTAGGAATGGGTTATTTGTGGTTACTTTTATGTACTCCTGATTGATGATCAACTGTTTCAATTTTTGATCACTTGTGAGATGGGCTCAATTTGGTAAAATGATTCAAATTTGTGAGTTGGTAATCTTTAGTTGAGCGACAGATCAAATAATGTGAAACCCTCTTTCAAAGAACATAGACCACTGTTGAATTGATGTAGAGTTTATGATTTCAATTTGAAGTTCTATCACATGATGATTATCTTTCTCTGGGGTTGCTTATCGTGCTTCCTTCTTCATGCTTATTTCATTGTACATTTGCTAAGTGTAATGTGTTTATGTATCTGTCTTCATGTCTCATATCATCTATATTGTCTAGATTTCCATTTCACGGGTTCTTTGAGTTGTGCTGGATAAGTATGATTGGTGATAGAGTAGGATTTCGGATTAATTTGCAGGGTCATGATCTTTCAACTTTCTTATATTGTAGAAATCAAATGCAATATTCATATTTTTTTGTGGATGTGTGGTGGTGGAGGGATTTTTAAAAATTAGCTGTTAGTGTAGTTTCTGGTATTCAGATTTAGCTATGAACATTTGGAAGTTAAATACCTACAACAATTTCATTCCATCCATTACAAAGTCTTTTGATTCTTCAATCATCTTTTAGTTGGATTTGCTTTTGTTTTTGATTTAGTGCTGCTCTACCTTTTTATTACTGTAATAGAATTTCCAGCCTTCTGTCATTGTATTTTGCATATTTCTTGTTTCCTCAACCTGTTACTTTTCTGTATACAGATTCTTCGTCCTTTCCCTCCGATTTCTGATTACAGAACCCAAGATAATTATACTGATGTTTACTTTCTTGTGATGAACTTACAATTTTATAAATATGCCTGTTTCATGTTTTTCTCATTGTACAGTTTTGGGTTAGCCAAGGAAATAAATGGTGTGATTTCTGCAAAATCTTCATATCGAACAATCCTACGAGCATTAGGAACCATGAACTTGGTACGCGCCACAAGGAAAGTGTGGGCAATAGGCTTAACACAATGCGACAAGAGAAAGCTACAAAAGATAAAGAGTTAAAAGAAGCAGCCCGTGCTCTGGAGCAAATTGAAGCGGTAAGTTCTATTGTATTGGTATTTATGTTCATATATAAGTTCACACATTTATGACGAGTTACTTCAATTCTCTGATGACAACCGATAGTATCTGTGGCTTAATATTATGATGTTAGTATTTACCATCCTAAAGAAATTAAAACGGTTATGAAGGGTTTGTAATATATGTGTGTAAATCTGTTGATGTTTCTGTTTGTAATTACATTTAAGTTCTAAAATACTTACCTTACTAAAAGATTATCTGTTTTGAAAAATTATTAAGTCATATTTCTCCAAGTACCATTACTGCAATTCCTCCTCCATCAGGTGTGATATGCTGAGCAGCTTTGGAGATTAGTGTAATTTCATTTACTAGAGAAAATGTCTTTGCTGGCTATTCTTCTTTAATTGTCTAATTTGCAGGTTATATAGCTGCTCAAAATATGCTGTTGGTACCAACTTATTTTATCCTAACTTCCTAAGATATCTCAGAGTGCAACACTTAACATGATCTTATTACATAGGTTCTCTTAAACTTCCACGAATAGAATTATTAATTTTTTTTTTTTTTTTTACATAATTTCATCCATCGTCTTTTTGACTTGTTTTATAGTTTAAAGAAGAAATGGATTAAATGATGGTGACTGTGAATGAACAAAAATGTTATTGCTTAATTATGTCTTTTTTTTATTGACCAGAAAGCTCAACGCAGCTATGATAAGGACATGGCTCGAGTAAAAGAAGCCAGAAGTACCAATATACAGGCCCTGGCTACTCATGATAATGGTCAAGCGACTACCAAGGGATCTGCTGTATCAGAAGGTGTTCAATTTCTTTGCTGTCCTGTGACATTATACCTTTTACTATTTGGTTATAATTGTGTGGACTCTGATTAGAAACATTGTCTTTCAATTTGTTTTAAATAGAGTTCTTTTTCCGAACAAAAGGAGTTGGTTATAAACTAGAGATATCTCATGAGTGCTTATAGTTTGTATTCATTTGTCAATTTTGAGATAAAAACTTTTACCAAGTTAAATTGAATATGAGTTAAACTATCATTTGACAATATCTCAGTTCTCCCACTTAATTATCTGGATTGCAGATATTTTAGGTTATACAAGTCTTTTAACTTTCATATGCAAAGAAAACGATTTCTTCCATTTCGTTTATCGTTTTATCTTCTTGTTATTACTGCTTTCTTTTCATCTCTTCTTGGCCCAAGCTCCATCGGAAACCTCCCTACCCTCACAAGGTAGGGTAAGGTCTGAGTACACTCTACTCTCCCTAGGCCCCACCTGTGGGATTATACTAGGGATGTTGTTGTTTGTTGTTGTTGTGTACAAAGAAATAATTTCTGGCATTGGTTATTTAATTCTTGTCGTTTGGTTTTTGGTTTTGCATCTACTGCTTGTTCTTTGCAATTCCTTCGTGACTAACTTGGTTAAAGAAATATCGCAATTTGTGGTGTCTAGAGGATACCTTGATTAATAGGCAAAGTTAACTAATCCTCTTGTTTTATGGGAACCACTCTATCAGGTCATTAATTCATAATATGAACAAAGCAATGAAGCATCATGCCTTTCTTCCATTTTTGTTAATGCTACTGTTCAGTTTCCCAGATGATAAATTTGAAGGGGGTGAAAATATCTTGTCCTAAAGAATTTGCTTATTTTGCTTTAGTGGCAAAGTTCTCTTCTATATTAGGGGATTCAAAGGGTGGTGAAGTGAAACAGGAAATTAACATTGCTGGGGTGGATTCCAACTGTATTGACAATTAACACAAAAGGTTTATGTCGCCTAAGAGTTCCTTTTTCTTCCACATTTACGCTATTTACGTCACTTACTTCAAGATTGAGTCAAAATGGTGGCCTTAATTTTGTCTTGCTAAATGTGCGACTTAAATTTGTGTTTGTACAACAGAATGGGAGTATGACAGCTCATCCGGCTACTATTACAATCAAAGTAATGGATGTTCCTATGATCCTAACTCTGGCTTCTATTATACAGATGTTTTAGGTAAATTTGCTTTTCCAGAGATCCAAAAAGCTACCCCACACTTTTTTTTCTGGCAGTTTGTTTAATTAAATGAAATGTGACATAGGTAGGTGGGTAACACAGGAAGAGGCACTTGCTGCAACTCAAGTTTCTTCAACGTCCATTTCAAAGAAACCTTTAGCGAAAGCACCTGTATCAACAATGGGTGCTGGATCTTCAGAAAATAAAAACACAGTATCTCATCAAAGTGGTCCTCCACCAGGACGTGTTGTTTCAACCCCTCCAAATCCCATGAGATCTGCTAAAGGTAGACCTTCTTCACTAATGGTTAACAAAAGGAAAAGGGAGAATGAGAAGCCAAAAGCTGTTACTGAGGAGGAAGCAACAGCACGTAAGGCCAGGGAGGCTGCAAGGAAGAGAGTTGAAGAGAGAGAGAAATCACTGCTTGGTCTGTATAAGCATTGATTTGTGTATCTTTGTCAAACATTTTCTCGCTGAAAGGAGGTGAGTTTTCAGTATGATTTTGTCTAGTCTGAATTCTAAACTATCAGTCAGGAAGCTATCAAGGAGCCATATTGAATTTTTGTTGTAGGACTTCACTGTGATGGGTTCTTCAAGGTGCCTTGTTAGGTCATTTTATGGCCTTATACTTCAATGAATGATGTTCTTTATGGGAATTTCTATTTTGTGCTAAAGATGTACAGTTATCTTGTTATATCATCAAGGCCGTGCTATTTCATTGAATGATTGCCTAAGTAACTTTTCTAAAGAAAATTCATTGTTTTATTAGTTGGATTCTTCTGATATGCAAATCATTGGAGAAAGTTCTCAACCTTGCTATTCAATTTCCTTAGAAGTACATGTTGCTGGTGTAGCACACTAGTAACTACTAGTAAGTTGCATTAGAATGGAATTCAATGTTCTCCGTGTTAGGATCAGGTCCCTTTTTTTCCTAATTTCATTTTCTTCTCTGTGAAGAGAGAAAAAGGGGTCAAGGGCTGTTATAGGTCATTAGAATTGACCAGAGTTATCATCTGAGTATTTTTCATCTTATATTAAATGCAGGAATATTTGACAAGGTGATGCCAAACAAATGTGTTGAGGATTCTCAGTGACATTTACAACATTCAATCACCCAAAATTCACCACACAATGTTAGGCTGCGAAGGTGGTATTCTAATTGCTTCACCAATTACTTGACTGACAGTTTATTACATTAAATCCCGTACACAAGGAGTCTGGGTGAGGTATGCAGCCTAATCTATTCATGCACTTTCAACCAGTGAACTGCCCCTACATCACGAAGTTTGTATTGTTGTTGTATCATGTGCGGTTCTCCCAATTAAAACATTTATATAACTGTACATGTGTGGCGAATGAAGAATTTGGTTCAAGATTCAAACTGATTCTTTTCTTTTACGTGTTAATTTCGAGATCAAGTTATCCGGCGTTCAGAGAAATTGAACGAAAATTTTTAATTTCTTTTCCAAATTGTATTGAAATGTGTTTTCATTCTCTATGAGGTATGCGTCGTTTCCTTCAATTTTGTTCCTTTGTATGCATGAAATTAATTGTTTATGCGTATGAAGACCCAGGCCACAAATATGGGTGACATTGACTTAGGTGGGTCAGTTTTATTTGACTTTGAATGTCAAATAAATCAGCCGTGATTGTGGAATTAGTAGTAATTGGCGTTCCAGTCACGTGGTTGCATTTTGGACTCGAAAAAGTGTTATAAATGCCTAAACACCCATTGTGAGAAAGAAACAAACACAGACTGTTTTGGCTTGACTTGTGCAACGAAAAATGCAAAGACACAAAATTTAATGACTTAAAATGTATGTATAGTATAACACTTGGTGCGAATAAGTATTTTCTTTTTAACTCCGTTCTTATCCCAATAAGGTTTTCATAGCTTTTCTTTTATATCAGCTTTTATTCTTTTGCTTTCTTCTGCAATGTTTTACTTTCCTCCAACAATAACGACTTCTCAAGTTCAATTTCGAATTATTCCTACAATTCTTTTCTTATGTTAAAAAAAAATTCACATTTTTAGCCATTACGAATGAACATACATTACAATTATTGTTGACGTTTGATACATTCAAAATCAATAAAAAGTCAACATTTACCTCATTTTTTTCTTTTAAAAAAAACAGTACATCTGTGAAGAACATAAATTATAGTAACAACCACCGACAGAAACACTGTAAGGTCATGATTATCATGTTAAAAATAAAAATAACAAAGTTCTTTTTTATATATATGAACAAAGGGACACTTGTTATTTGTTAACACCATACGATCCAAATAATTACATCCACCTCCGTTTATGCTAATCTAATCCGTCATTTACTCTCTAATCCAATCATTAGAATAAATGGTCGATTTTAAGCCCACAAAAAAAACATACCAAGAATTGAGAAGAAAAAAAGCTAAATTATATTCAATGAATTTAATTTCTTCTAAAAAAAAGTTTTGATTCCCACGATGGTGGTCGTTTCTACTTTACCCTACAAAATTAACTATTGCTAAAATAAAAGTTTATACTAACGTAATGATGCTACTTCCCCCTAAAAAAAGCATAAAGTTCTCTTCAATATCTTAGTTATTACATTATTTTATTTTGAAAAATAATGACACTGGTACATTTCAGCAACTAACCAAGTCATTAAAAATGAAAATGATAATCAAAAAAGTTGGATTAAAGTGATGAGTAGATAATCAAAAAATTAATATATCATTGAGCTGTAATGGCATGAAAATTAATTTTGTTATACCAAAAAAGGTCTCGTTTGGCAACTAATTAATTTGTTTATTTACTATTTATACGAACAACTTGGTACTTCTTAATTTACATACGATATGAATATAAAGTAAAAATAAATAAATTGGGATGTGGTCCTTCTTGCTTAATTGAACTGTGCCAAGTACTAGAAATAGCTGGACCATAATGAAAATTGTACATCTAAGCTTCCACTTTATATTAATTCAGGCGTAGTTTTTTTTTTATCATAGATCAACAGATGATTCGTCCTTTGCTATCAACTATAGTAAAAATTAAAAATGAATTAAAAAAAAGTTGTTAGATTTAATATGAGAAAATTTGTTGGTTTAAGATTTTTGAATGACCTATAGTTTTTTTTTTCTTATATTAAACAAGGATACCAATTCCAGCAGTATGTACTTTGTTATATTAATTTTATGCAAAACTTTTTTGTGTACTTTATTTTATATTATAAATAGTACATGAATCCGCACAAGTCTGGTTGTCGACCGGCCGAAAAATATTTGTCATGATGATAGACCTTTTAATGTAAAATATTAATTAAATGATTACAGAGAAAAAAGACATTAACTTTAAATAATGCTTTTTAAAGGTCTATTATTTTGGTTATTGGCTTATTATCAAATTACTATATTTTTGTAGAGCCGTTAATATGGGTTAGCCCTGTTGAACCGACCTGGCTTAACCTGAAATTTAATAGGGTTAGGTTATGATTTTTGGAGCTCATTTGAGAAAAGGATTTTTTAGCTTGGCTTGAATAAGTCCGTTGATTTGTAGAACTTGAGAAATATCAGTGGGCCGGCCAGTGGACCAATAAAAATTAATTAAAAAATATAATGTAATATTAAAATATAAAATTAAAGAGTTGTTAAACTCAAAACAATTAGGTTAATATTTCAATTTAGAATTTTATATTACAAAGATAATTTTATTTGTGGATTTGATTAAAAAGTAGTAACATTAACATCATGTAACATTGTTTTGCTGATATTTATGACAATATTTTTAAATTATAATTTATAATTTAATTTAATAATTCTAAAAATAATATAATTTTTAAATAAAATGGACTGGCCCGACAAATCTGTGGCCCACGTACTTGTGAGTTGGCTAGCCATTTTCTAGCTCACACTAAAAATAGGCTAGCCCGACCTGGCCCGTAAAATACTAAAGCCTATATGAATTAGCCCGAATAGAGTGAGCTAACCCATATTGACAGGTTTATATTTTTGAATCTATCTTTATGGAATATTTAGTTTTCAAAATTCTAAAAGAGTAATTTAATTATGGAAATTCTTCACAAAAAAAATTGTATAAAGAAGTACAGTTGACAAATGACAACCCCGTCCTTAATTAAATCTAAAAAAAAAGTGGAGTTTCACTAATAATACTTTATTTTATTAATAATAAGAAAGGAAACAAGTATTAACTATTTATTGGTGCGAATATAATCATGCTAAATATTCCTTAGGTAATTACTAAAGAATCTTAAATTATTCAGTACATGACCACCTGCAATTTTTCAATAAATGCACTAAATTTAAAGGGCAGAATATTATTAAAAAAAATAATCTAGATACTGATTGATTGTCCGGAGACTTCATGTGGATAATCCGAATAAAAATGTATTAAGTATATACTATAAAGAATAACAGAAATAAGTTAAAATAAAATACAAACACTTGTATTGTCCAAAAATGGATTATTTTTTTGTACAATTAAAATTTTAAAACAGATAATAAGTCTATAGACGTGCCATCCATAAAGTATTCATCACGATAAATATTGGAAAATATAAGACGGAGTATATTATTTAGTAATAATAAATAATTATCAATCATTTTAAAACTATTAAATCTATCGTAGTGAAGCTCTCATATGTACCCTTGCGTGTCAAGACGTTTTCACATACGACTATTGTAAACTTTTGACCAAGTTTACTCATAAATTTATTAACAGTGTGGTTGGAAGCTCCTCTTCAGTACAGACGGTTTTTTCTTCAGAACGGATTTATTCTAAAATATAAAATTAAATTAAGAATTAAAATCGTGTTTTAAATTTATCACTAGAACGAATAGCATATCAGCGATCAAATTTGCTACGTTAGTAGGAGTTGTGGGTAAAGCAAGAGATCTTATTCTATCCTTAAGGATAATGGGGTTATATAAGATATTCTAAGGTGATTCTCAGTTCGAGTTTTGAGCATAGTAGACCAAGATCCAATTTCGGGTCATTTCTTGGTGAACATGATCTGCCATAATCTCTTCGATCCCTTCATTTATGTGCCAGAATAGAGAGAGATGAGCCTCACACGAATTCATATTACTTGGGGCTCCTCAACAAGAATATATTGATCAGCATAATTTCATGTATGAGTTTTGTGAAAGATAGAATTTAGACAAATCTTATTTTTTTGAGTTAAATTAAATATTTTTGATAGACTTTCGATTTAAAAGAAAAACATATGACTCAAGATTATAAAAAAAAAGGGGACAACAAACCATATGCAAAAGGATTTTGGAAGTGAACATTTTATGCACAAAAAAGAATCATGTAAAATACACAAAGTATGAAAAAAATGTAAGCACTCTCTCTTTTGTATTTTTAAAAATATTTTTCCAGAGAGAAATATATGTAACAAATTAATTTTCCAAAAGGAAAATAATGAAATGAGTAACAAAATTAAGGCCCAAAAAATTACAGTATCTGAAGTATTAACGGCGACTCATAGACATAGAATTAGCGACACTTTTTGATACAGAATCTTGCAGCGATGCATTGAAACCTAAGCAACCCAATAAGCCTTGTTTGTATGGTAAAAATGTCTTCTTCTTCATTTCTTCTGATACTGCTCTGTTCATTGTGTAATGCAATTCATGTGCAGAAATGGGTCCTTTTTTTCTTGATCTAACACTCTCTGTTGATCTAAAGCTTGAATTTTTAACATCTTCTTCATGGGTTTTCTTCAACAATTCGTACTTGTTTAGTTGTTCTGTACTACTTGGTCGACCTTCTGAAGAACTTCGGAATAGAAGCAAGTCTTTGATTTTCCATTTTTTGGACCAGAGTGAGATCATTGAAGAAACTGAAGAAGACGAAGAGGAGGAAGATGATGATGAAGAAGAAGAAGAAACAGAGGCGGATTTTTTTGTGTTTTCTTGATTGCTTTCGTGATCAAATAATAAGTCGGAAACTTTCAAAGGCGATAAATTTGAAGAATTCTGTTGGGGTTTCTCTGTTCGGCTCTGTTTTTGTAAAGCTGTAACAGATGGGTCGAAATCTTTTTTCTTGTGTCGAGGAGAAAATGTTTCCATGAACGATTTCTTCGGTGATTTTGGAGAATCCATGTGTTTTCCTTCATACTGAAACCGTGGAGGTGGTTTCAAAGGTTTAATCTTTCCGCAATCAAACAGCTCATCAGCTGCCGATAACGAAATCCTCTCCAATTGCCCACTGAAATCAAAAGCAAAATCTTCATCATCTTCATCTGGGTTATCTTTCTCTTTTGGGATTTCTTCCCAATTGAATTCATCGTAAAGAGGGGAAATCCGAGTAGGACTAGCAGGTGCACTGTAAAACAACGTGGCAGCACGTGGAGGACTTGATGGAGCACTCATGTACGGAGTAGTACAACCACTGTCGATATTGAAATCAACCGGCGCCGGAGATTGCATCATCACCTCTGTTTCC